AAACAAAACATTTGTTGGGACCTGGGAAGCTTATCCTAGGATTTTTGGAAACACTGTTTGAGAACCACCCATCTGTGGCCCCTTCCAGGTCCAAGAGTCTTTGGCTCTGCTTTAGGGTGAGGTAGGAAATAACATTCTTAGTGGCCTACCTTTTTCATGTAGCATTTCAGCATTCACAAAATTGCTAGATTCTGAGCTGAAAGAGGTCTCTGTTTTATTAAATGTCAGGAAAGTGTCATCTTCCTTTACCAGAGGGAACGGACGGAACAGAGCAGAACAGCCACGGTGCGGCCCGTTCTTCCTCTTTTACCTTTTTAGTCAGATCTTCACAAAACTCCTTCCTACAGAAAAGGGACGTTTTTCTGCCCCTTACCTCCAGGTTATGTCCCACCTTTCCCTTTCTCACTAACAAAGGCTAGTTCACTCCATATCACCTATTTCCAAAGCCCATAGTCCAACTGCTTAGGGTAGCATCCCTCTCAAAGGCTCTTGGAGAGAAAGGAGAGAGGCTGGGTGCATTTTCAGCCAGAAACCCTGAAGTTTATGTCTGTGTGATTGGGGAGGGGTTGGTCTTTTAACCTCATGGGACCTTAGTTCTCTCACTCATAAAATGAAGATAGTAGTAATACCTATCTCCTGTGATCTATGGAAGGATCTATGTTAACTATGCAAATGCTAGGTGTGTGCATTATTTTTAAGGACGTTTACAGAATAGTCCTGGGGGGAGGGGGTACTTAAAAAGGATCTCAGCATGAACTGATGACACTTTGCTCTAAAGAGGGCTTTTTTTTTTTTTTTTTAGCAATTAATTAATCCTTCCCCATATTTAGAATTGGAAACTTGGAATCATTTTATCCCGGTGGCTTTCCCAGTGGCTTTCCCATTGGTTTCCCATACAAGCCTTTATCTTGCATCCTGTATAAATCCTCAAAAAGCTGATTTGTTTCCTTTAAATGGCAGCCCAGCTCCATTGAGTGTGTGAACTTACAGATATACATAATTTATAATCAAAGTGGCTCAGGTCCTAAAATGTTTGAAACAGAGAAGGGGCCTCTTGATTAGTGGGGTTTCCTCCTTGCCTTAAAAGTGGAGTATCTGGAAACTTGAAAGATACATAAACAGAAGTCAAGGTAAGGGCTGGGAAAGTCTCTTACAAATGGAACTCCATATGTGCACAGATCTTTGTGTTAGTAAGAATGAAGTAAAGACTAGGCTGTGCATTGTAATTGGTTCCTTTTTTCTTAGCAGTTTCCCCAAAGAAAAAAGAAAATATCTTAAATTCCACCTTTTTCTGTAGAAAGAGAATGGGTTTTTTAAAAGTAAGATAAAAAGGCAAATGTAAGATAACAAAAACTATGACAATTATTCAGTCATATTAATCTTAAAATATAGGCTTTATGCACTGTTTTTAGTATAAATATTTCTGGTATTTAGACCCAGAGTGTTTGGGAAATTAAAACTTGGGCAAAGGAGTGTTTCCCACAGGTTTTTTTGTGATCTGTTATTAGCTATAGTTACATTTCCCCAGCACATTAGTAGTTTTATGCCATTCTTGACATTGTCAGAACGAAAACCAGGTATGAAATGCCTGCAAATTTATAATCCAGCAACATGCTAGCTTGCTAGATTGCCTCTTGTTTTTTAAAGTGTCTTATTGAAGTTCTGTTAAGTCTGGTTGTACTAACAATGCTAAATTTTTTTCTCAAATCTTATGTAACATTTATTGTGACGAATACTTCTAGAAGCTACTTATATCTTCAGAGAGCATCAGCTTAAGGTTGCTCTCTCTAGAAATTGGGATTTGCTTCTAGGGCTTCAATAGGTTATCTCTTTCCTAGCCTCATCTTAGAATTTTAAAAAGTTTTAAAATAAAAGATACAGAAGCATTTTAAAAAGTACATAACTTTCTATTATTCCTTCCCAAAGAATCAAAGTTTCAGGCTTAACAGAAAACACACCACTTAATTATTCTATTGTGACTAACTAGGATGCTTTTGGAAGAGGATTTTATAAAGGGTTCTGGAAGAAAGGCATAGGGCGAGAGAAGCTTTAGGAGGTGGCCAGCAACACCCCACCCCACCCCCCTGCACCCCCACCACCTCCAGGAAATGGTTGAAAGGGGAGAAGTGTGCTAAATAAACAAAGTCCTCTTAGGATCTACCTTCCTTGCTGAGGTCAGAATTACACGATGATTGCTCTAGAGACCATCATTATTCTCTTTGGTTCGGATTCTGATGGCACTGTCCCCAAAGGGCCAAATTTTATTTTATTTCATTTATTTTTAATTTTTTTTAAAGTAATCTCTGCACCCAACGTGGGGCTCGAACTCATGACCCTGAGATCAATAGTCGCATGTTGTACCGACTGAGCTGGCTGGGCACCCTGAAGGGCCAGATTTTAAGCACTTTTCTGAAATTTACTACTCTTTTAGTAATGGCACAGTCCAAGTGAATGATTATCACAGACACCTCGGTAAGTGCTGTGGTGTAGATAGCAAAGCTTTTATCTCCAGGTCTTATTCCCAGTCTAAGGATCAGATCCAGGAAATACACTTCTGATTGCCTTTGGTGGAATATTTTGGGATGCGTAGTTTTTGTTTCCCACGGGTGACACTAAAGCACCATCAGATGTCACTAATTTGTAGACAACATATTTTATTCATTCCACAGATATATATTGAGCGCCTGCAATGTGCCAGGCACTGTTCTAGGCACTCAAGGTACATCAGTGTTAAAACAAAGATCACTGCCTTCTTGAAGCCTACCTTTGAGTTAGGGGAATAGATCACAATGGTTAACATAATAAATAAGAAAATTATATGGTATGTAACTAGTCTGCTTGGGCTGCCATGGCAAAATAGCAAAGACTTGGTGGCTTGAATGAAAGAAACTTACTTTTAACAGTTCTGGAGGCTGGAAGTCTGATCAAGGTGTTGGCAGGATTGGTTTCTCCTGAGGCTTCTCTTTTTGGTTTAAAGATGGCCACCTTCTTGCTGGGTCCTCCCACGATCTTTCTTCTGTGTGCATGCATCCCTGGTATCTCTTATAGGACATCCATCATACTGGATTAGGGCCCCACCCTCATGGCCTCATTGAACTGTAATTACCTCCCTATCTCCAAATACAGCCGCGTTGTGGGTTAGAGTTTCAACATAAGAATTGGTGGGGGTGGGCACAATTCAGTCCTTAACCAGAAGTTACCAGGTGGTAAGTTTTTTGGAAAAAAAAGGAAGATAAGAGTAAGGTAAGAGAGATTGGGAGCACCATGGGGTGGGTATTGCAGTTCTGAACAGGATGGTCAGGATAGACTTCATTGAGAAGGTGGCACTTGAAGGTCAAGTTTACATTCAAGTGTTGTTATAGCAAAGGGACCAGAAGTGGAGGAATGGTGTGGTGGAGGTAGGTAAGGTGGAGGCACAGGGCGGGCAGCTCGTGGATCTAGTTCTAGTCCCAGCTCTGCATCTTTCTGGTGGTAAAATTTCCAAATGTCACCTTAGCCCTCCAGAGTCCAGTTTCTAAATATGCTGGTCTGTGTGAACTTGTAATTCCAGAATGTACACCTTTAGAGGGCACAAGGGAGAAAGGATTTTGTGCTTGGGTACAGGCTAGGGTAGGTGGTGGGCAACAAGTTAGAAGTGCTTACTTTGGAGATTTATTTTCATCTTCTTATTCGTTAAGCAGGAATGGGCTTCGGGTTCACTCTCATGAGTGTTCCTAAGAACTCTGTATTAGGATGAGATCTTCTTTCTCAAAAGACATCTAATATAACCAACCTAAAGTTCTTACTGCATGGCCATTAAAGGGGAGCAAGCTGCCTGGGAAAATGGCCAATGGTGGCAGAGGATACTTGTCCTCCTTCATGGTCTTTCCCAGGGAGTGTGTAGCTCAGTGGGTGAAGGCCTGCTATGGTGTAGCCAAGCCACAGAAGCCATCCCATAATAGGCCAGTTAGCTCTGCCCTGACCACATACTCCACACCAACCAACCATGCTAAAAATGGAAAAAGGACATTAGTGGAAAAACTGGTGAAATCTGAATAAAATCTGGAGTTTACTCATAGCAATGTGAATTTCTTAGTTCTGACAAATGCACCATGCTTATGTAAGATGTGAACATCTGAGAACGCTGGGCGAAGAATATATGGGAACTCCTTGAGCCATCTTTGCAACTTTTCTGTAAATCTAAAATTATTTCAAAATAAAAGATTTTCTTTAAAAAAAAAAAAAATGCCCCCTCGTGAGGGGCGCCTGGCTGGCTCAGTCGGTGGTGCGTGCTACTCTGGATCTCAGGGTTGTGAGTTCGAGCCCCACGCTGGGTGTGGAGATGACTTAAAAAGAAAATCTTAAAAAAAAAAAAAATGCCCATCCTGGTCTCAGATGACTTGAGCTACAGATACGGGTTTATTTACCATGACTGGAAAAATAGTTCCAAATGCATGCCCCAGTGTTTGTGGGTCAGGAATGTCAGTTCACAATAAGGCAAAGTGGGATATCTCTAGTCAAAGTGGGATATCTCTAGCCTGAGCTTCTCTCTGGCAAATTCTTCCTCACCTTACCACCCCACCCCAGGTTTTTGCTTTGGGTATTGCCTCTGACTCATGTTTATATTGAGTATTTTATGGCAGAATAATTGCCGGAAAGCATTATTTTATAATAGGATTAAGTGGGGAGAAGCCTCATAGGTCAGGGAGGCTGCAGCATATACAGGAAAGATACTTAGGGAAACCAGAGAGAAAAATGTCCACTTTGTAGAGGCAGCACTTCTTAAAATACGAGCTTCCAAAGATTCAGAAGCCCACATTCTTCAGAGCCGCATGCTCATGGAGTGTATTGTATTTTTTTCTGCCCAGGTTCCAGCCTGTTTTGATTGGGTTGTGGTCCCTCCTGCTGTCAGCGCAGTGTGATGGTGCATTCCATATTTCATTAAGTCCGGGGGCAGCTAAGAGGGGGAGTGGCCTTTTGTATGTGTACATATATATATAATGCCTTTCTTCTTTTGACAGCTGCAAATCAGAAGGAGCCCATGAATCTTAATTTTAAAGTGAAAGAGGAGCCCAAGGAAGAGGAGGCCTTAAGTGCCACTTTGCCTCGGTCCAGCTATGTGTTCAGCCCGGAATCGGAAGTGCCAGCCCCAAGCATCTCTGAGGACACCCTTAAGCCCCAGGAAGGGAAGGGGAATGTGCTAAGGCGGGATATGTCTGTCAAAGCAGCGTCTGAACTTCTCATGAAACTATCAGGTACTTGATTTATTCTAAAATATTCACGTTCTGATCATTTCATTTGCAGCCAACTGGGCTGCTTCCTGCATGGGTTATAATTAGGCTCATGGTAGCAATATCACATTATTGAGGCAAATTCAGGAATGATTGGATAGCTTGGCTTGCATTCCTGCGTTGTGTGTACGAGTTTGTTTGCAGATGTTGTCTGTGTACCTGTCTTGTTAAATGCAGCCTTCTTTTCCTGGGAATTGTTGGAAAACACTGCTGCTTTCTGAGATGATGCAGGTCATAATCTTAAGTGCATTCTAACGACATTCAAAGCACTTCTGCTAATTGATCAAAATATCTATTCTTTCTTAATAGAGGACCTTTCTTTTTGTGTGTATTTATGCTGTATTCTTTAAGAACCATTAAAAATATTTTTCTTAACTTAATATTAACAGTTGAGATGGCTCTTGTAGTAATTAGCAATAGAGTAGCAATAAGAGATTTTACAAAGAGAAAATTTCATAATGGACAATTACAATAATTAATCTAAGTTCTTAAGATGAATGAATAATTTTTTAGTAGTATTTAAATGTAATCTGCCTGTCAGAGATAGGAAAATTGATTATAATTTGAAATTCATATATTTTGGGTTCTTTTCCAGTCTCCCATCTGCCCCTTCAGAACAGGTAAAAATTTAGTGTCTTTTAAATACAAGAGTATGATTTTTAGAGCATGGGAAGAAAAGTCGTATCAATAATAATATACTTACCAAGTCATATCCCAGCCTCAGTTAAAAGGTAATTTTTTAGAAACTATATTCAAAATGCTAATATGAATCAAAAGCTGTTTTCAGTTTGTAACTCCCTGTGCTTGGAATATGAAAGCAAGAGATGCATTAGGGATGCTCCTTCCCTATAATTTCCTCAGCAATTCTGACTGTGCTTCTGGTTGACCAGTAAGTTGGAAAGTAAGAAATTAATAGCGATTTACTTAGAGCCATTGTATCAGAACAGTTGAAATTCCTGTATTTGCCAGTTGGTGGGGTTAAGAATTCTTTCCTTTGATGTTAATTTAGAACACACTGGAACTTCAGAGGAACATGATTTGTGATAGATAAAGCAGAGTACAGTATGACATCCTTATTATAGCCCCATTTTTCTAAACTTTGCAGTATTAGAACAGCTTCTCTTTAGCAGATGGGAGGCCTAGCAGGACTGTGCTGATTGCTGAAAGCTGAAAGTTTAAAAATATGGTGTTCAGTCCAACATATTTTCTTATACTTAAGCCCTCCTTCCTGTGTCAAAAGGTCTCAGTGACGTAGAGTAATATGTCTGTTGTTTTTCCAGTCAATTCAAAGGGGTCACACAGCTCTCTGATTCTTCTTCCATAGCACAGTCTTTCACATTGCAGTAACCCTCTTCCAACAGTGACTCTGGTCGGTAGGATCCCAGTGTATGCTATTTCTGTTTCAGAGTTTGCTGGGCAACCAGTATTGTGAGCAGAGAGAGATGGGGTGGCACCAGAAGATAATATGCAAAAATGAGATTTGAGGGAAGATTTTCTTTAAGGAAAACATTTTCTCCTGATCCTTCTAGGTGATATGATTTTGGACACTGAAATATGAAAGCATTTCCTAGATAATAATGAGATCCCTCAAATAGAATATGGCCATACAGCCATGCACATTTAATGATACTTGTGGACAGCAATGGTCCTTCTAAATGTTTATGTTGACTTTTGTTGAGTTTATGTGCTGTGGGGGTCAAAGACAGTTGATTGGATGACATAGTCATATTTCCAAAGGGCATCTACCCTGCTTCCTAGTATGCTTCCTTAGTTTGAAAGACTAAGATAACTAATTTTTTTTGCCTTGAAAAAAATCCCCCAACATTCTTTGTGTGAGAGACTTTGGTCGAAGAAATAGCATCCCAGCCCCTCTCCTCTAGATTCGCATGGTCTAGTCGGAAATAGTCCAGGGCAATGGAATCCATTCAGTAAACGTTTTGCACTTTGAACTCCATACTTCTACATTCTAGCAGACTATGGTCAGGTAAACTGTGAAGAAGTTTCCAAGTTAGTCCTAGAAATAAACATGTGACTTAAAAAAAAAGTGTCTTCTCATTCCTAAGCCCCAAGGTAAAGGGGACTCACCCTTTATTGGGTTTACAGTAGATATTAGAGTTTCTAATCATGGATGATCAGTGCTCTTGGAAGAAGGATGTGAGGGAAAAACTTCCCATGCTCTCTTTCCTCAAGCTGCAGTTTAGCAATTTCATTATTAATGTCCTGAAAGACATCCACGTAAAGAACTTGTCGGTGTCTTCAAGTCCCCCTTTCCATGATAGTTCCTGTCCCTCTGTAGACAAGAGGGGTAATTCATCTCCCAAAGCAGCCATGCAGGTTAGTCAGGGATGCCTTAGGTTCACCTGAGCTGATACCCCAAAGCCTGGCTGTGGGCGTTCTCATGAACACGAGTCCCTATTGCTTCTTGCCTTGCTAATTTCCATGTATAGTCTTCTGCCACATTGAGGAAAATCCTTTTGGCCAGGAAGAGTTGGGTGAGTGAGAAAAGTATGCCCCATGCATTATCACACATTTTGTTTCTTCTTCCAGTTTTGACCAAAGGAATAGCTAAGATGTGGAATAAAAGGATTTTTCTTCTTTGTTGTTTCTTTCCTTGAGATTAGAAGCTTTGATCTGTAGTGTAGGCTACCCTCTTAGTCTTTTCACTGAATTAATAAGAGGAAACTGGTCAACAATTTTGGCTGCTTCATTTCCAGTTTTAAATTAATTTATGTTAACTCCTTAATGATGGATGTTGGGCACGGGGCCCAGTCAAACATCATGTGAAACCTTCCCGGGTGGAGAAACATCTGCAGGTATATTGTTTTCCAAATTGCCATTTACATTTTATGGGAAAAACACAGATGAGGTAGAGGCTAGGCTAAGTTTTTCATTAACTGTGTGTTTGGGAAAATCTGAGTTTTCTTCCTTCCTGTGGCTCAAATTCTACTTCCAGTTGTTAATTGGGAAGTCAAGTGCCTGACAGCTGGGCCAAGTAAATTGATTACCATAAAGAAAGCAACCCACTCTGAGGAAACTGCTGGATGTCTGTGACTACCTGTTGTTATGTGACACAAGGCAGCCAAAACAATCAGACTTTTTTGCTGAAGCGCAGAGTTGCCAAAGATAATTCCCAGAAGCCTTGATTCAAGGAGGCCAAAATTCTGAAGTTCAGTACAGAGGATCTGTAACATTAGACAGACGAAGAGAATCCTGTCACTATGAAACCCTGGTTTTGCAACGTCGAGTGACCTCACCAACTTCTGGAACAGATGTGTTATCACAGACGTGATGCAATGCTGAAGGTGACACAAAACTTGATCTGTTTTGTCTCTGTTGTACTGTAAGAGGAGTAGGTAGACACACAGATAAAGAAATGCCCCTTCTCCTTTTGGGAAGCCACATGTTTGCATGGGAATGAATACATAAAATGTACCATGTAGGTGGTTGAACCTAGAAGTAGCGGGTTAAGAATACCATTTTAAACATGTGAATTCCACAAAAATAAAAGCTGAAGTTATTTCAGAAACATTAATGAAAAATTAAGCACTTAAGTATATCTAACATGGTAAATAAAACTTCATATTAGATCTCAATTTGAGACACCTCTATAGGTTTTCTTATTTCTGTGCACAAGGAACAAAACCAAGTGGATTTCTGTTCATTTCTGATTTATATTCATTTATCCCAGTCTAGTCTTGGAAAGAAATATAAGTTATAATTGCCTCATGTAGAAAAATCCAAGCAGGCATGGATTTGAAATACATAGAGATGTTTAGGGTTCAGGGAATCTCCTAAGATAGAGCTTCAGCTGTGAAATATATATATATAATAATTACATAATAAATATTATATATATAATAATTTTTCTTTTAAAGTAATGTCTGTCCCCAATGTGGGGCTCGAACTCACGGTCCCGAAATCAAGAGTCACATGCTCCACCAGCTGAGCCAGCCAGGCACCCCATGGCTATGAAATATTTAGAAGCAGGTAAACTTGGGTAGGATGAAGTTTAAGGTGAGGTTATTCTCTGCAGTGAACTGAAACAGAGAGGAAAGAGACCCCAAAATTGACTTTATTAACAGTTTTAATTAGGGCCCTTTGGGTTGTACATAATAAATCCTTTTCAGCCAGTTTAGGCAAGCGAGGGGAATTTAATAGAAGGTACAGGTTTGGGGCTAACTTATGGAACCCCAGGGCAGGGATGTAGAAGGGTGTGAGTACTTCACTGAAGCCAGGGTCTGGAGGACCACGTGGAAACCAGGAAGCTCTCACTCCCTACCTCATCCCTGCATCTCTGCACGTACAGATGGACCTTTTCTATTACAAAGCTCACATGGTGGAAAGTGGCAATTTCTTGCAGTTTCTGAGTTTGCCTCTTGTTCAAAAGAGGAATTCCAAATTCCAGTTGATTGCCTCAGCTGCAGTTGGGATCCACCAGTGGAAACCTGTACTGTCACTAGGGATAAGGGCATCTGGGGCAGACATGGCTGCGGTCATATAGGATGGCTGGGAGGGAGAAGAACCACCAGAAATGCATCTTGGGTGGGCAAGAATGGGGGTGGCATGAAACCAGGAAGATAAACAATATGTATGAACCACAAAAGTTTGAGGAGCAGATTATGGTAATTGCTGTTATTTAAGTATTGAATGTAAATGTGTTTTGGCCTTTGGATGACTTTTACCTTTCTTTTCCGGTAGAGTCTTGGGGGAGACCTGCCCAGCCAGGACTTTGCCTAGCCAGCCTCTCAACTCTGTAGGTGCTGAAGCAAGGTTTCTCAAAGTGTGGTCGTCAGATTGGCAGAATCAGCATGGGTGGGGGAGGATAGGGAAATGTTCAAAATGCAAATTCTTGAGCCCTACTCTGGACCTCATTGACACTCTGAGGTTGGAGGCCCAGCTGTCTGTGTTTTTGCAAGCCCTTCATGTGATCCTGACAGCTAAGTTTTGAAAAGCACTGTGCTGAG